TCCTCGAGAGCCTGACGAAGCTGATCTTCGGTATATTGAGGCATTATATATAGAAGAAGACATGTGCAAAAGATGAGCCCATTTGGACGCGAATTGAAAATGTTGTGATAAAAGGAGGTTGGGGGTGGGCATTGGGTTGTGGTGGATTTTCGCGTTTTTGTGGGTGCCAGAAACAGGGGGGTGCCAGGAAGTGGGTATGTTGACTTACACCAACAACCGTTACGGCAACGTCTGGCTCGTTCTTGTTGGAGCTGCCGCCTGCGGTATTTCTGCCGGCTTGTTCTGGGCCTCCGAGGGCGCTGTTGCTCTTGGATATCCAGAGCCGTCTAAGCGTGGCAAGTACATGAACATCTGGCTCTGGTTCAGAACCGGTGGTCCTCTTGTCGGTGGAGCCATAGTTCTGGCCCTCAACAACGATGCGGCTGCGAAGAAGAAGGGCAAGGTTGGATATCAGACCTACCTGGTCTTCGTTGCTCTACAATGTCTCAGCGTGCCCCTTGCACTCGCTCTATCTCCCCCGGAGAAGGTCCAAAGATCCGACGGTAGCAAAGTTATCATCAAAGCCGAGAAGTCGTTCAAGGCCGAGTTCAGAGAGCTGCTCCGCGTGTCGAAGCGCAAGGACATCCTGCTGCTTCTCCCCATCTTTTGGGCTGCCTACTTCAACCAGTACAGCGGAAACTTCCAAGCCTACTATTTCGGCATCCGAGCTCGCGCACTCATCGGTTTCGTCAGCAACTTCGGCACGCTTCTCTCATCGCAGCTGATTAGCACTCTCCTCGACTACAAGAAATTCAGTGTAAAGAAGCGCATCACTATTGGCTTCTACTACGTCATTGTATGGCACGTCATTGCGTGGGTTTACGGCTGGGTCATTCAAGAGAAGTACACCCGCAACCCACCTGCGTACGATTGGGAAGATAAGGGATTCACTGAGGGTTTCTTTGTGCTCTTGTTGTGGGATTTCGCCCGTCAAGCACTGCAGAGTTGGCTTTACTACCTTCTTGCTACCAAGACGGACAACATCTCGGAGCTCACTCGTTTCTCGGGTATTCTTAGAGGCCAGGAGAGCTTTTCCCAGGCTGTCTCGTTTGGCTTGAACACACAGAAGTGGAAGGGAGGTCGAGTACCACTTGCTGTCAACACTATACTCCTGGGTAAGCCAAGCAGAGTCCATGATGAAGTTGAAGATGATGCTAATCGATGTAGGTTTGGCCGTTTATCCTACGTGGCTGGTGGTCAGAGACCACGTCCCAGTCGAAGAGACCGACAGACTTGCAGCTGTAGAGGAACAGCCACAAACTGGTGAACTAGCCGAGACGAGGTTGTCAGTGGATGTGAGAAAGGAATTTGCTGTGGGGCAGACGGGTATTGGGAGAGATGCGAAGATGTGATGTTGCCTTCTGGAATTTTCTGGTATCCAGAATCAATCTTATGCAAATTATACTCATACCTTCACAAACCAATCAAGACTCAACGAGCCATGGATTTCACAGATTTCTTCATTTAAATGGCGTTAATGCACGTGTGGAATGAGCGCCCCGACGTTGAAACCGCGGCTGATGTTCAACTGTTTTAATTACATCTATTTATACCCAATTGTACATCTAATTACAGTGTTACAAAGAAGATTTACATTCACTTTATTCTCACCCTTATCTTCATTACTTCGTCCCAAGCACCCACATTAACCTCGTAGTCATTCTCATGAGAAGTATAGCTTCTCTGGAAGATACATCTTGTTTACACAAAAGGTTGCTCAAGAACGTGCATAAGCCATGAGGGTGGGCTCGGCAATGAGCTTCGGGAGGTAGGCCAACAAGCGAATGCCAGCAGCAACAATCGAACCAGCAGTAGCAATGCCATCCTCGAGGTTCAGGCCAGGGGCGATGAAGTCCTTGCAAACGTCGTTGAGGTTGATGTTGCTAATCTTGGCGGGTCCTGAGCCTCTCTGAAGAACATCCTTGATCAGTGCGGCTGTCAAGGGGTTGAAGAGCATCGTCGCGTGGCCGTAGATACTGCCAGCGGGGCGGCCAGGGCAGACAGACTGGACCTCGATATTGGTGACACCGACACGGCGGGCATCGGTCAGGTAGGCGGAAGCAGCCGTGCCTTGCTGGGGCTCGACAACCTCATCGAGAATAGCACTGTAGAAAGTTGTTGTGGGAACGTAGGCGTCGGCTCCTCCACGGGAACGAAGGGTGTTAATGAAAACGGAGGTATATTGCTGTTGAATGACAGAAGGATCACAGGGAGCGTTGAGGGCTCCGTTGCCAGGTGAAAGGCATAGAACGTTGGCAAGAACGGTTCCGTGGAAGTCGGGAGATACGGGGAAGAAGTTGGCGACAGCGTTGCGGGTAGAAGGCCAGAAGGTGAAAGCCCACTGGGTGTCTAGACCACCCTGAGACCAAGAAATGATGCTCGAGTTCTTGTTGCTGATGCCATTGATGTAGTTAATGGCATAAGCGACGTACTCAGAATTGACCTGGGCGTCGCCAAGAAGAGCGCCAGGAATATTGAGCCAGACGGGATCTGCGTAAGGGACGTTCGTGAGAAGCTTCAACAAGTTGGGGCTGAAGGTCTCTCCTCCGTAGACACCAGTGCCGGGAATGAAAATAACAGGAGGCTTCTGGCCGTAGGTGAAAGTCTGGGGGATGTAGATGGCCTGGCGAAGCTGCTGCTCGGAGAGGGTGTATGGCGCATCCGAGGTATCTTTCTTGGGGTAGACAGATTTGGCCGGGTTGACCGGGTTGTTGTTGCTCGTCGAATCGATGCCGTTGAGAGGAGCAATCAGCTTGTTGGCATTGTTGGCCAGGTCTAAGCTACCCAGAAGGCCAGTGCCGAGAAGTCCCTGGAAGCTGGAGAGGAGGTTGTTCGGGACGAGACCTTGGCCGATTTGCTTTTGCAGCTTCCCGTAAAAGTCACCAGTGCTTCCCGTGTTCCAGATCGATCCGAGCTTCGTTTGGAGATCTCCGACGTTGAGCACTCCGGCGCCGACGCCGCTCCCGGGCTTCGTGCCAAGAACCCCGGTCAAGCTGGACACATAGTCGGTCGGAAGTGCCAGTAGCTGGGTTACTACTCCGAGACCGTCGAGAAGGCCGGCCGGGGCGGCATCAGCGGACTGCAGCAGAGCTGCGGCCAGGACGAGTTGCTGAATCTGTGAGCGCATTGTTGTAGTTATTATGTGAAGGGTTGTGAAATTAGAAATGTACTGCTAATTATTAAGTAGGAAAGAAAAGACTGAAGATTTGAGAGAGAATGAATTGGGTTGTTTTTGGAAGCTGATGACTTGGAGAGTTCAAGATCTCAATTTCGGATCAGGATCCGGAGCTACTTATATCTCAAGCAACATCGGACTCAAATGAGGTAAGAACTAGAACAAAGTGTGAAAAGTGTGCGCGCCACAACGTGTCCGAAGCTACCGGCATTGGAGGCCCTAGAGCGGATCCGTGACACTGCACCTAACGACGTGTTGAGCGGATTTAGGCAAGGTGTTGTGAGCAAGCTCTCTGGGGGGAGCTGGAGAACTTGACGATCAGCTAGCTCTGGGGGATTCTTTGTCGATCTCTCAGGTGGGGGAACGAATGGAAATGCCCAATTCTCGGTGCTATTGTATGTCTTGCTGATCTTAGAGTTCGGTAGTCCTGCTAGGATTACTGCAATAGGAATCGCAGGGTGTCTAGCGCAAGACCCAAGTTCCTCCCGTGTAATCCGTCCCAAAGTCGAACGCTCGAGTGAAATTGTCCGAACATTCTTAGCCATCATACATCCCACCCAAGACACCGTTGAAGTCTATCCCAGTCCATAATGTAGGCTGGCTTTGTTTAGGGTCTTCAATGGAAGCCCGCGGGATGCCACCTTAGCTTCACCAAAGCGCCACAACATGGCGCCAAGCGTACTGTGGTTGCCAACTTACTCGTTCCCCCGCACAAAGAATGATTCGAAGAGTCGCTGACGCTTGCAGATTGCCTCGGTATGGCTGTTAGCCTGTTCTTTTGGTCTCAAAGCATAGTCTCATCATACCCTCTGAGCTTAATTCCATGCTACCGTATTCTTGCCTCAACTTCAGCTCCTTGCAAATATTGACAAGAAACAATCTCAGCATACCGAACCTATATTTGCTAATTCTTCGTATGCCGTCAACCCGGCGCTAAACCATCCGATGGCGTCCTGGCAACCGTCGGTCCAAAGTTTGCTGATAAGCACACGGTTGTAGGTAAACACGGTACACGGCCACTCTAGCGCATAGCTCGGACGACAATCATTCTCTCTACAGCTGCCCATGGCATTCTCTGTAGTAGAACGCAACATGAAGTTGACATGTCTGCTCTGAGTGTCAACCTTTCGCCAAGAAGTTCTCAAGGAATACCCATTCGGGCATTGCTCGTAGTCAATGCGACGGGCCGATATCAGGTCGACGCAGAGCGCGCTCAGCGATTGTGTGAGCAGGGCATTTATGATCTCATGATCTCTTCGTATAGCACAACTTTGAGAGTCTATGCTTGGTATTGTGGCCTGATACGGATAATGCAGATCACTCTCGCACCTCTTGAGTAAGTTCTGGTCCCGTGGTTGAGTAAAAGTTATCAACGTTTGGACCTCGAAAGGCCCGATTGCCATCATGTCTTCATGTTTGCTCAACTCCAATTGTAGAGCCATTGCTCTGAGCGAATTAATTGGGACATGGGCGAGTAGAGAATACAACCTGGCAACGGAGCCTCTTATTTCCTCCGCCTTTTTCGTTCGGTCTTGCTCAGCAACTGATCTGTCTTGTCCAGAGGTGCGAGGCAAGCGGCTCACTTCGGAAAGGCCTCGATCACGGGGATGCTGCGGAAAAGATGAAAGGTATCATTATGCCTTCTTGAGATAGAAGATAGGTTTAACCAAATGCCTAAACTCCCGATTCACCCATTTTGTTCACATGCCCCTGCTCTCTCAGGTATAGCGGTGTTTGAAGATACCGTCGAAGAAAGAGCGTCCACGGAAGAATTCACTGCATATTCCTGAGCTGTAGATGATCGGAACGTCATCGTGGAAGAAACAGATTGTGGCCTGATCGAGTGACTGCCGTCCAGGGGCGAGAACTGCCTCGAAGACAGCGTGCTTTGGCGTCTCGACAAGACATCGGAGGTCCAAGAATGAGTGCTTGCTGCCTCCGTGTACGGTGCCGAAGGCCTTGGTGTTGACATTTGATGTTCAGCTTTTTGGGCTCTCCTCTTTTCCCTCTCAGCTCCATTTTGCTCTCTCTGGAGGGCAATTATTCTTTCATTCTTGACATCATTCTCCCTATCAGTCCGCTGAAGATTAACATAGTCCTCTGTCAGATGTTTTTAGTTATAGGTCAGGCCATTATGGTGGGGGAGAAGACTTACCTTTGGTCAAGTGGGCGTTCCTTATAGGTAGGACCGGCTTCAGAAGCTCATCCATACTTTCCAAAATGTACTTGATGCCAGGGATAACATCACATGGAAGATCGCTGTGTCCCAGAAAGCACGAGACTTTGCTGAGTGCTTTATTCTTAGAATAACAATACCAAGTCAGTTGTGCCTGGCCAAGAGGTGTAAAGTGCGGTCCTCCTGCCCCAACGGAATTCCCCGCCCCTTCAACCTCATCATATGTTATATTCGTTCAATCCAGTATTCTAGTATTAATCTAATTGTTCTGTACGCCGGTGTCGAGTACGACTCTAGCTATGATATCCTCGGCCCCTTGCTTTGGTATGACGAATAGGGAAACGACTCGGTTCCGGCCAAACCCTTGAGATCTGTCTTTGGTTGATTGTAGTGCTGCGGGAAGCTCGTTAAAAGTTCGGTCTGAAGCATCTCCGCCTACAGATAATGAGCTGATTTTCGCCAACTTGTAGCCGATTTCGGCTAACGCCTGCTAAATAACATTATCCGGTGTTCTCCCATCCGTTACCATATGTGACTTGTATAGTGATAGAGCTTGGTCAATCTCTGCTACCGCTTGTTGTGTTTTGTTGCTCTCCGCCTCTCGTTCCAAATGGAGTTGTTCGGATCTGACGACAAGTCTCTCAATACGCCGCAATGTGAGGCTATGACGGTTAGTCACTCGTAAGATTTTCAGAGCCTGAGTTTCAACCAACGTTTGTTCAATATCCCTCAGTCGCTGCATTACCGTTTCGGGCGTTCCAGCCACGTGGTTGAAATAAGTTTTCCGCAATCTGTTGTCACTCGGATAAGTGAGACTTTTCTTCAGTTCGGCCAGGTGAAGTTCCCCAATCAGCCCGAGTATATGAGCGGCCGGCTCGGCCCTTGTGCGATAAGAGAGATCCTCCGGGTCAAGGCCTAGATACATGATACATGACCTTGAACATCGTCATCGAGGCAGCCAATCGCCGAAGACTCTCTTCGGCGCCCAGGTTTCCGAAAGAGCGACTTAATGCTATTCGCAAAGCATTTTGAGCCTTAAAAGAGAGAATATGACTCCATAGATCGACGCGGTCAAACCCAAGGGGTCTGGCTTATTGAATAGTAAAGGGCAACAACACTAGGAGATCTTGCAAGTTGCGCTCACAATGAGAACGGCTTTGCTTGGAACAGGATCAGGCTGTAATTTCGTCTTCAGTCTGAACCCCGAGATCTTGAACAGCAGCTCGAAGGTATCAGAGAAGAGGACAGAAATTCTACAGCTCCCATACGGCGGGAATGCGAATCTAGTCTCCGGGTAATGAAGCAATATACAGATGATCCAGACTCAATACAGTACGCAATTCTGCTCAAGATTGGGCAGAAACTAGAAGAATAACGTGGGACTTCTTCTCTTCTTTGCATGATCTCAACTTCAAAACGATTCCAGATCAAGCGATTCGGCATGGCTCTTCTCGACGCAAGTTGCCTCGGCCATCTGACAAAGAATGGGAGCTTCTCGCAACGTGGCTGCGCAAGCTCAAAGGGGGGAATGGGTTTCTTGACATGACAGGCATAGAAGCAATGACTTGGAATTTAGCAAGCCAAGACGCTACCTTCAATATTGGGGAGTTAGCGGTCGAAACGCACAGGTTTACTCTATTCATGAACGGCAAAGTCGTTAACCTGTATCACAGAGTGATTGGACAACACAGGACGGCTAGCACCCGGTTCACACAAACCTCCCTCTGTACTCACAACGAGAAAAAGATCTCGCGCTTCAGTGACATCATTCTTGCAACTCTGTCCGCTGCACTGCCAACTCTTGCAATCCTCGTCTTGTACTTCCTGCAGAACATGTTGCATAGAATAGGACTTGTCGTTGTCGTTACCATGATTTTCTCATTCCTGTTTGCACTACTTACTAGGGCAAAGATGGCTGAAATCTTCGCGGCAGCGGCTGCCTTTGGGCTGTGGAGGTGGTCTACATTGGTAGCGTGGCTTCTAACGACCCAGTCTGTGTATGCTCATCATCTCAGTCCTAGGACGTCCATCCGTCTGCGGGTATTAGAGATCGAAGTGATAGATTCGAGGAAGTTCATTCTCTGTCTTTACAGCAATGAATCCTCTATTTCTCGTATGCCGTTGGAATCTTTGTGTGATTATCTGGTATTTTTCTATCAGGCATAGTGCTGTGTGTATCAAAGTTGAATCTTCGCTGTAGGGAAATGGTGCAAAATGTGTCCTACCGAATACGGGACATTAAATGGTGTCATAATATCACGGTTCTTCCAGAGGTATACAGGCAAATCCCTAGATGACTTAGTAAGGCTCATCGGCGACTCGACACTTCTGGTCTTGTAAGGAAAGTTTAGACTTTAGGAACGCGATGGCACTCTTCAATAATTTCATGCGTATTGTTGGGGGCGGTTCATCGAGGGGTTCATTCGTGTTTGGGGAGTTTTTGCCTCCCCGCGGCATCCACGCTCCCCCTCGCGATCTGTTGAACTTCAAACAACCTGTATTGTGGGCAGATAATCTCTATCGAGAACCTTGACCCGGATCACAACTATGCGTATAGGATACGCAGTCTCGCGTTCGAAGTGTCTGATTCACATATCACCCACGGGGTGGTACTGCCACACCTGCTATAACTGCTGCGCACTTCATCTTGACTCTCACTGCTATTAATACTTTATATGGAGAGCCTTCATAGCTGCATCTCGACATCTCACCTAAATGAAAGTTAAGAAGTTAAATCATTCATCTCGGCCAAATTTCCTCTCAATCAAGCCATTTACCAACATGACCATCCAGGTGAGAGTTCTCACAGAATTCCATGGTACGGTGTCCCCCGGTTACTATACCTCTCGAGAGGGTAGAATTCTTCATCCAACATCACGTCGATCAAGCGCAGATGTAACTGCAGAGGAGGATTTACCGGCAGCGATACCGAGCAGAAGGACCATGATCACCCACTAATGACCGATCAGCAAGATAAGCACTTGGTGCAGCAGATCACAAAGCCCAATATCGTGCCGCCCCAGATTCCTCAACATTCTCGAAGCGACCGATCGACAAGAATAGCGCATCATCCCATCTTTCCTCGAAACGGCCCCCAGAAGCGACACACTCTCCACACAGACTCGCACAGGCAGAGGCAAGAGACAAACTTGCAGAAAATCTCCATCAGCACGTAATTCCCCAAAAGGGCCCCCGTTTACCGCCGTGCACATCAGCGTCATAGTATGTGGGCGGCCCCTATAGCGTCTGAAGCAAGAAACTTAAGATCAGCCCCCAAACTTCCCATCTTGCGCCCGCCGCAGTGAAAACACGGCACAGACACACCAGTAATCATCGGCAATTTATGTTCCCAAGTAAGCGATGTTCCGGCAGTCAGTGGTCCGTCGTGAGCACACGCTTCTGCTTACTGGTTACGCGAGCCGATGACAGAACCGCATCTCCGCTTTCTTCTCAAAGGCCCCGGTGCGGTGGTGGGTTGACCCCGGGACCGATGGGGCCGGGGATGTTCATTGTCTAGGGGGCGCAGTCCTCCCGCACTCCGTTCTCGCCCGGCTTCCCCTGGCTGACGAGTGCCTTTTCCAGTGTACTTCACCCTCAAGGTCCTCGCATTTGCGGCTTTTATTCATAGGCTCGCAGATCCGTATCATACAATGTTCCATATAACCTATACTCAACCGTCTACTATGGCGTCTTGTGTCGAACCGAAAGAATCCGATCATCAATGCAAATTCTTTTTCGTTCTCTTTCCGAGTCCGATTTCTTCGGACTATGTGATGCGTGTGATGTGTGGCTGGATAATGAATGCGACCATCGTTGAGGCCAAATTCTTCGGATATCTGGTTCTGTTCAAAAGTTACATTGACGAGCGTGTGTCTGGTTAATATACACTTTGCCACTCGTCTCGTCCCTCGTCCCCTTTCAAGCCTTCACCGCAAGGCACCACCCGAACTCCAAAAAATGTCAAGAGAGACGCGCCAAGTCAAACTTCCAACAGCTTCTCCTTGTATCTCCAAGCCCAGTGAACCTACTGGTTTAAAGTAGATCAAGATGGTAGACAAGTCAGCCAGATATTGTTATTCCAACATCACCAACGCCTTCTCCAGTATTCGCCAACGCGACCAAATCAAACTGTGTACACTGAGCCTGCAACAGACACACCAATCAGAAAGGCAACAAATGTGCCGTACAAATCCGACTCCATCGCTCTTATGCCATCGACAATCATACCTCATGAGACGTCGCGGCAAACTCTATGCCCTCTAACCCCCTGTATCCCTGGCCGGTCCCTCACATAGCGCAGACAGGGCCGTCGGCAACGAAATCCCCTCCTCGATCACTCTCTCGAGTCTCATCGAGGTCCCTGCGTCTATTCCGCCCACTCACACACAACAAACACCCTCCAGGAAACCATCCCAGACTCTGTCTTGTACGAGCAACAAGGCCTCTGATCTATAATGCGCGCCACTGCTATGACATCAAAATCTTGTATGCTCCCTCTTTTCGCTGCTCCGCATTTCCTCTCGATCATTTACCCGCTCCCAGCATGGAAGATGGCGAATGATCGACGTATCCGGGTCTGGTAAGAAGACAAGACCAAGGCAGTCCTTCCTTGCCTCCCCCGCGTCAGATTCGCGGAGTAGCGGCCAAGGCAACGAAGACGAAGGAAAGACGGTTGAACGATTCTCTGACCTTGCAGAAAACCTAACCAACACTACGCGTGGGATCCAAGGCCAGCCGCACTGTATCCGTCCCTCTTCGGCTCTTCCCCCTCCAACGTCACGTCGAAGCACGACGAGAGAGCCGCAGAGCGCTCCCCTGCCGATCATTACCCTACCATGAAGCAACGGCTGGAGACGTCCCCGATCCCCTCAAGCCCCTCGGCCCTCAAGTGTGCCCCTGCACTCCTTGGGGGTCGACATCCACTTACAGTACCACCCACCAGCAAGGCCGTAGGGCGCTGCACGTGTTGGTGGCCGAATCGAGAAGGCCGGCAAACCACGTTCTTCCCTCTCTTCCCCCCTTCCAGTCTCTGGCGGGCCTTTCACGACAAAACACAATACTTTTTGGGTGGTCGCTGATCCGTTCGGATGCGCTTCCGACCGTGACAGGTTCCGGAGTGCTGGTAGCACCCTTCCCTTCCTCTCCGTACCACCATACCTCGTTAGCGTCTTCTACGTGTCTGCTGACCTCGTACTGCTTCATGATGGTGAAGATGTCGTGATGTTTGCTGTCAACTAATAGGCCCTAGTGCCCATCATCGTTGTTTCCCACGCTAGCATCGTTGTTCCCCGTCCGAGCTCTTGTTTTCTCAACCCAACCGCCAGACTTGTAGATCACAGATAGATGAGGGATAAGCTTAAGTCACGTCAGATCAAGTCTTGACTGAGTAGATAGTTCAGATTGTCACCTGTTTGTCACAAAGGCTGAAAACATTCAGAAGGAATGGCGTCTAAAGTTCATAAAAGTTGATTTCTCATGAGCCATAAACTTGAAAGAAAAGGGGGGCGGGGGGGAGAGAAAAGAAACCACCCCGCTATCGAAAAGTGACAAGGTATCACACACCACCATACACCATCCCGTCCCTATTCATCTTTTTTTTTATACAAATGCCATCTCAGTATGGTTTGCCTCGTGCCAAACCTCCATCTTCAACATCGTCGCCATTTCCAGAGACCACCGGGCTACGGCAGCTCATACAGACTCTTCTTCCTCCCCTGCGGCTCCGCCACCACAATCGCTTCCTTGCCATCAATCTCCGCCATCTGATAATTCCCGCCCAACCCGCCGGGACTCCCATCCCACTCACTACTCGCCTTCCTCACGGTCATCATCCCAGGCGTCGCCGACATGTTATACGTTCCCGTCCCCATGGAGCTAATCGTCCCCGTGCCCCCGTTTTGGTTCATATTGTGAATATTCATCCCCCCATACGCGATCCGCCCGGTATGTCCGGTATTCGACCTCGAAAGATCGCTCGCCCCGCTGCTGCCGCCGTACCCACCATTGATACTCGACCCATCAAGCTCCACGGGTCCCTGGCGAGACCTCTCCTTGCGTAGGTACCACATCACGCCCACCGCCACGAGCAGCGCACCACCCACACTCGCGCCGACACCCAGTCCCACGACAGCCACGTTCCCGATACCCTTCTGCCCGCTATCTCCACTGCTTCCGGTATTCGTATCCGCCGTCGGCTGACTGGCCTCCGCGCCGCCAGGCGTGGCGGGGATCTTGCTCGTCATCGTCGGCACGGCCGTCATCTCAGGCGTCTGCTGCGAGGGGTAATTGCTTCCGCCTGTGACGCCGGCGCGTCCCGATCCTGAGGGCGTGGGCGTGGATTTGGCGCCCGTGTTAAGGGTCTGCACGGCGACGGCATTGCCGGGTGTTGCGGCGATGAGGGGCCCGAAGATGGCGGGCGGCGTGGAACAGCATCTCGTCTTCTCGGCGGCGGATTCGCAGCAGAACTTGCCCGGTACGCCGAAGCCTTGGCTGTCGCATTGCCATACCTGGACACCGTTGAATCTGAAGTCGTATGCCGTGTTGTTCTTTCTTGTGTCGGGGTCTGTTGTCCTCATGTTAGTACTCCTGTTCCTTCCTGAATCCAAACACCCCTCCATCTCAGGTTCGCCAGTCTCGGTCCATGATCTCCCATGACCAACTATTCTCCTGTGTCCTCGGAAAGGATTCGTCAAAGACTTACTCAACACGCAATGCTGCGGGCAAATTGGACTCTGCCACGTCGGATCCGAACACGTCCCTCTCGCATACGCAATACCGGTGTTATTCGACGTATCCTCGAGCTTGCACAACCCGTTGCTCAAACACGCATTCACGCTCCCGCAGCACATGCTGACCTCGGCCTTGGGATCGCACGGGACGTCCAGACTCTGCACGCCGCCGGGGAAGAAGCACAGGTTCGCCGCGGCCCGGGCGCATGTTACGAAGCCGCTGCTGCTGAGCAGCGTGAGCAGCACCACCTTTGTTGTCGTCGTCTTCATGTTTGATGTCGTTTAGATGAATCTGAGCCCGGTAAGAGAGGCCGGGAGAGTTGACTAGGCCAGGGGATTCTGTTTTTCCCAAATACACTTGGCCCAGCGAATACCAATCCCGAAGAGGGTAACCCGACCAAGATCGATGCCGAAGACAAGAAGATGTGTAGTCGAGAG